AGACAAGAATACGGATCGTACACGGAAAGAAAACAATAAAACCCCACAATGGGAGTGGGTAAAATCGAATGCGTTGGCACAAAAAATATGAAGAAAATGGAGCAACCATTGGCCAGGCCAGGCCAGGCAGTGTAAATGACGATGATGATGATGATGGAGGGTTGCTGGGGGAAAATCCACGGGGTAGATGACTTGCTCACACATACTCACCTCTGTCCGCACACCCCTTTTCCTTCTCTTTGTGTTCGCAAGTGTGTGTCCCTATATCTATATCTATATATATATATCGGGATATATACTTATATAGCAGCGATGCGAACAAGGATGACGACGACGACGTGGCCAACGACAACGACAACGGCGACGGCGACACTTCTGGTTCAGTGAAGCATAAGAAATTCTCGAATGAATCGCTCTGTTGACGCTTGAGTAGACTTGAAGCGATAAGCGGTTTTTGTCCCATATACAAAAATATATCTAGTCGCCGCTGCCGTTGCCGCTGCCACCTCCATCGCTACCGCTGCGATTCCCTTTGTCTACTGGCCTGGCCTCGCCTGTCCTGTCCACCCCTCTAACAATAACCTCCATCCCTACCCTCTATCATTCTGGTGCAGCCAGCCATTCAAACAATAACTTTAAGCTTAGGCGAGAATTTCCGATTTCAAAATCATTGTGCGGTTAACCCTGAAAAAGAAAGGTTTTCTGACCCCTGAAAATGGGGGCTGCCCCTTTATGGCAGAGCTTAGTAAATTATTTTGAAAATGTTTAAAAAAAATCTGTTAAAAATCTGAAAAATTCTTATATATATTAGAGATAAAGTTCTTTCCATTTAAATAGATTTCGAATAGTCCACCCTGCGTATACGTGATATGAGCCTCTATTTGGTAGCTCATACGCCCTGTTGCCGCACGCCAATACTGCTTCCCAAAAGTCTGTCCTAATGGAATTAAGGGACAGCTTAGTAAATTATTTTGAAAATCTGTAAAAAATCTGAAAAATTCTTATAATTATTAGAGATAAAGTTCTTGCCATTTAAATAGAATTTGAAATAGTCCACCCTGCGTATACGTCATATTAACCTCTATTTGATAACTCATACGCCCTGTTGTCACACGCTAATCCTGCTACCCAAAAGTCCGCCCTAATGGAATTAATCAAATGTCATGCTGATGCCGCACAAATGTAAAAAGTTCCTCTGGCAGTGTTTTGGCCATGTCGCCGATGTCGCCATTGTCGCTTTTCTGTTCATTGGCTGACTAGTGTCAGATGTTTAAAGTTTCAGGCAGCGAAGCCGCCGCATAACTAGTTAACAAGCATTTGCCGCAGGCTCTTGCAGGACGAGACAGGACAGGACGGGATACAAGGACGACAACGACAACGACGTAGACGACGACGACGACGACGATGCGATGCCCATTAAATTGTTGATCTTGGCCAGGCAGGACGACAGCATCTGTTCAATACCGCAGGCGGCAACACATAGAAGGCAGCAGCATATACACACAGCAATACACATTCACACATTCACTAGCACATATGGACACTCAGAGGAGCCGTTTTTGGTGTCGTGATTCTTTTCGCCCCTGGGGCAACATGTGTCTATGTCTCCGTGCCTCTGCCTGTCCTGTCCTGTTCTGTCCTGTCCATTGCCCCGTTTGGTCTAAATCTGAAACCAATTTGCTTACCGTCCTCGTCCTACTGCTCCCTGCCTCCTGCCTCCTGGTGGTGCATTCTATTTCAGCGCTGCCATTGCCACTCAATTTGAATTATGGGCACGGGTCAAAGCTATGGAAAATGTGATATCCTCTCGTGGCTCCCCCGAGGCTCGTCGCGATGCCATCGACTCGGCGTTATGTTAGGGTTTATTTTTTTTTGTATACCTTCTTGTTTCTGGTTTTTGTTTTAGGGCAGCATAGAAGCCCTCTTTGTTTCTAGTAACTCTTTAATGTATATTTTTTGATAAATATATTGAAAAGTATGTAAAGGTTAAGCTTAAAACTTGTAGGATTGTAGGAAAAATATATCGAAAAGTAAGGTTGGAAGTTAAGGACCCCCTTTTTAGAGGCTTAAATAGCTCATTATGCTGAAAAATATGCTATTAATATGTCTTTTACTCCTTCTAATTGGATTAATCAAAGTTTTTTTCACTCTTCATATCGAAAAGAAAGGTTGGAAGTTAAAGTTTCCTTTGTTGGAGACTCAAATCATCTCAATACGCTGAAAAGTATGCTATAACTAAGTATTTTAATCATTCTATACGGATAAATCAAAGTTTTTTCCCATCATCATATCAAAAGGAAAGGTTGGAAGTTAAAGTTTCCTTTGTTAGAGGCTCAAAATATCTCAGTATGCTGAAAAGTATGCTATAAATTTGTCTTTTAATCATTCTAATTGGATTAATCAAAGGGAAAACCCTCTTCCCTAGCGGAAACTTCTTTAAAATTTAACAAAAACAATCTTACTTTGGAAATTGCATTGCCATATTCTTGGTCCCCCACCTCGGCTGAGCAATTTTAATGGAAAACTGAAAGAAACTAAAGAGAGTAAGAAGGAAATATATCTTAAGGCAGGACAGGCTCAAGGATCTGGTTGGAGTTGGGGTAAAGGAGCCGCAGGGGTTGTCCCTTTCTCAATCTCTGCCATATGTGTGTGTGTGTGTGGCCTTGGCACCCCATCACCCCCTCCCCCCATCGAAAAAACTAAAATGCCGCTGAGAAACTTTCGCCCTACTTTTCCCACTTTCTCCCCTGGTATTTCTACCCAACCCCTTGGCCCCCTGCTCTAACCACACGCGACTCTCTCTCTCTCTCCACGCTGGCGTTGAAAATAATTACACTTGCTGATTTATTGAGTGTCGTGTGGTGCGGCGGTTGGGGTAGTAGGAAGGAGCAGGGTGGAGCAGGGGGGGGGATTGTATAAAAGGAAATGCCTTGCACTGCCCGGATGTTGTTAATGAGGCACGACATTGGCTGGGATTGCTTGGATTGGATTGCAGTGGCCACGTCATATTATAAGCGCGCCCCCAAGGTTGAGTGGGGTCAAGTGATTAGACTCACTCCTCGCGACCTGGCACTGAGTAATTGCTTTGGCCCAAAGGGGGAGAAAACGTAAAAAGAATCAAAGGGGGAGGCGGCGACAGCCATTTCCAACGATATCGCTGCTGAGTAATGCAATCCACCCCGAAATTCGATTACAAGCTGTGATGGCGAAGCTTAAATCTATTTGTTCATGTAGAGAGTAGAGGGTTCGGGATTAATGTCAAAGATTCCATGAGGTTAGGTCAAAGGTGCAACAGTTTCGGGGGAGAGGGAACTAAAGTAAAGGTGGAAGGTTAGGTGAAGGAAAAGGGATTGGAAATTGGGGAAAATATCATTAATGTTTTACATTCTAACTGAAAAACGCAGAAAAGGTGATTAAAATTTGTTAGGAAAACTCTAAAAATCTTTTAGTTAACTTTCAAGGACACCTTCTTTTTCGTTCACTGTAGACCCAAAGCCAGCGCTTAGATTACCCCATTGATTAGGGCTTGTTGCAGCCCCAATGTAGCAGCTTGATTTGCGTCCGTTGGAGGCTTAACGATTCCGTGTTCCTGTCGCCGGGGAGTCCCACAGTCCGATGTGTGTGTGTCTGCCAACAATGATTAGGATGTAATAGACCAGAAGGAATCCCAAAAGGAGTCCACTGAGTTATGTGGCAACAAGAACTGTTGTGGGAAGGTCAGGCCAGGAAGCGACACTCACCCGGATCCGGATATGAACGGTCTCCCCCCCCCCCTCTTAGGCTGCTGTGCTTTATGGCTTGCGTGCGGCTGGCGCATATTCAAAGGCATCGCTCAACCGAAAGTGAAATTAATTACTCGACTTCAGTTGAGCTGAGCCGAGTTGCTGAGTTGCTGAGTTGCCGAGTGGCAAGTTGCAGTAGGTCTGGGCTCAGTCCGGCTCAGTCTCGTTTTGGTTCGCTTCGTTTGACTTGAGTTGAGTTGAGTTAAGTTGCTGTTTTCTCCATCTCCTGGTGGTGCTGCTCCTGCTGTTGCTGTTGCTGTTGCTGTTCCTACTGCTGCTGCCGTAATTAATGAAAAAGCCCGACACACACACACACACACACATATAATCGCACACGTACACGCAGCATTGCGGCATTTTGATGGCCTTCGTCTCCTTTTCCTGGAAGTGTGCCAAAAATTTGTTTAGTGCAGAAATGGCCTTCAGCTGAGCATCTCTCTCCCTCTCCTCCTCTCGCTGGCCTGATCCCAGAATCCTCGATCCCAGTAGTCTGCCACTTCGAATCCTTATTTCGCTGCGTATCCGATTACCTTTGACCCCTTGAAATTGAAGGCACTCTCCCACCCTTCTCATTAGGCCAACAACGAGCCATCTTTTAATTATGGGCCATCGACTCGACCGGCCGTCCGCTCGGGCGGTGGCTTTAATCAGCGTCAATTGGCAAATACAAAAGCGAAAATTGCAAAATGTGTAAAAGCAAGATAGCTGCTAGGAAGTCGAGATGGTGGATGGGCGGTGGTGAGGGAAGGCGTGGCGAGAGACACAAAAACCTTTTGCTAATTTAATTAAATTACACAATTTTCGCTGTCGCTTTTTGTAGAATAATTGGCAATAAATTGATTAAAGAGTTAATTAAACATGCGGCCATGGCAGTCAGGAATGGGTTCGTGGAATTCATGAAAAGGCAGTCAGGGGCATGGGGCATGGGGCATGACCAAGCGGATAGATAATTGCAAAGGCATAAAGTGCACGGACTTGGCCAGAGTTTGAGTGTGTTTTAAAGGCATTTCTAGTGCAGGCAACAAGGTCAAAGGGCAGACTGGACATTAAGCAGATTGGGAAAACTGTGAAAACAAAGGAAAAACCAATCAGGAAAAACCTCTAAAATAGAAAGTATTAGAAGAATTGGGGAAGAGGCAACTTTACACCTTAAAACCTTAAAGAAATTTACAATTTTCATGCCAAACTAACCTCTTTTTTCCTCTCTCTCCCTCTTAGCTAAAGAAAACATGCCGCTGACGTTGCAGCAGGAGTTGCAGCTCGTCATCGCTGGCACGCCCCCGCCCCACTAGAGGTTGAGCCCATTCGATTGGCGGCGGGGAAATCAACAGCGGAAATCATCAACGGCAGCAGCAACATCAGCAGCAGGAACATCCTTGCAATGGCAGCCGCCCAGCCATTGACCAGCACAGCGGCAACATCTGCGGCAACAGGAGGGGCAACTGTAGGAGCAACTGTAGGAGCAACTGTAGCAACATCGGCGACCTTCACAACAACAACAACATCCGCTATTTCCACATCGACAACAACGGCAGCCACATCCGCGGGAGCCACGTGGATGCAACATGGCACCACCATACCGGCGAACGGCAGCGATGCTCAGGCGGGCGTTGATGGCCCCACAATGCCGGCCGGCTATTTGCCGCTCTACGATGATGTGGAAACGGCGGCTGAGGACGCTGGCTATGCGCTGATCGATGACATCAGCGAATGGCTGTTGGGATCAGTGGGTGGTGATGGTGGCTCGGAGAACAGTACAACCTTGGCGGTAACGAGTGGCGGCAGTGGCGCCAACGAGACACTGGGCTGGCTGGAGGCACTTAACAGCACGCTGCCAAGTCGAAGTAACTCAAGTTCCGAGGATGGTCAGGGAACGGAGCGGGGTGGACGGTATTCGCTGCGCAGCTTTGTGGAGCAACAGCTGAACGGAGGTGGGGCAGCGGGTGCAGCCGGTGGTGGTGGCGGCGATGCTGGCATCGCTCTCATCGACAGCGGTGAGGAGGCGGCTCTGGACAATGTGGCAGATGCGGAAACTGATTACGGAATCTTAGGCGGCTTCGGTGATGCGGAACTCCTTCAGCGGACAGCAACGGCGGCAAGGGAAACGCTCAGTAATCGAACGGCGCCGGGCACAACCAGCTACGATGGCGGTGGCTCTGGTAGCGTAGCTGGCGGTGGAGTAGCTGGAGGAGTAGGAGGAGGAGGAGGTGGAGGAGGATCAGGGGGCAGCACCTTTATGCTGCTGCTCGAAAACTTTAACGATTATTTTCCCAACTATAATGGGAGCACGGTTTCGGGAACAACAACCATAGCGCCGGGAGTGGCCATATCGGGGAGCAGGGTCGTCGGCGGTGGCGGCGGTCTGCTGCTCGAGCAGAATCTAACGGGACTGTATCTCGATAACTATCGGCTCAACTGTACCAATGAGACGCTCAACCTGACCGATCCCTGTGCCGAGCTGAGAGTTGGTGAGTGTTTTGGGAAAGGGGAGCTATAGGTATCATTGAGTTTAAGGTATCTATCTATCTATCTATCTGTCTATGTATCTATCTAACTATCTATCTATTTATCTATGTATCTACCTATCTACCAACCTATCTACCTACCTATCTACCTACCTATATATGTCTACCTATCGATCTATCTATCGATCTACTTATTGATCTACCCTTCGATCTACCTATCGATATACTTATCGATCTACCTATCTGTCTACCTATCGATCTATCTATCGATCTACCTATCGATATACTTATCGATCTACCTATCTGTCTACCTATCGATATATCTATCGATCTACCTATCGATCTACTTTTCGATCTACCTATCGATCTACCTATCGATCTACCTTTCGATCTACCTATCGATCTACCTTTCGATCTACCTATCGATCTACATAAAGATCTACATATCGATCCACATATCGATCTACCTATCGATTACCTATCGATCTACCTATATATGTCTACCTATCGATCTATCTATCGATCTACTTATTGATCTACCCTTCGATCTACCTATCGATATACTTATCGATCTACCTATCTGTCTACCTATTGAGCTACCTATCGATCTACCTATCGATATACCTATCGATCTACTTATCGATCTACCTATCGATATATCTATATATCTATCTATCTATCTATCTTTGAAACTAAACCCTCTTTAGGGCTTGAAGTTCCTTCTGCTACTCTTCGCTTTAACCTTTCTTAAACCTTTAAAGTCTTTCTAATACAGGGTGGCCCACGGAAGATTTGCGTTTTAAAATCGCTATAAAAATATCAATATTTCCCAACTTTCTTCGAACTTAAACTTAACCATTTCGTAAACCGCAAACCTTCAGATATTTAATCTGACACCTTGACAATGATATTCGAAATGTCAAAGTCAAAATTATCGATACTTCAAAAAGCAAACCCCTGTACATTGAACTCAACTTTAGGCAGCTAAAAATTAAACACAAATAAGCAGAATGAACTCAAGGCTTAAATAACTCCTTTGGCTTACTAATAACTCTAAGCATGACCATTTGATTTAATCAAATATTTAGTTAAGGTTGCCAGACACGTTCTCTTTTAACTAGTACTAGTACTATTACTAGAACTAGTACTTGTACTTGTACTAAACTTATAATTGACTTAACGTGCTTGTGTTGAGGTTTTCATTTGGGGGAAATTGTGAAATGAAGTCTGGCAACAGCCTGCGCATGAAATTGAACACTAAACACGAATCTTATCTTTTGCCTATCTTTTACAGTGGACCACAATTACTGGGCGCTCATCCTGATACTGTTCCCCATCCTCACACTCTTCGGCAACATTCTGGTCATCCTGTCCGTGTGCCGCGAACGCTCCCTGCAAACGGTCACGAATTATTTTATAGTCTCGTTGGCCATTGCCGATCTACTGGTTGCCGTGGTCGTGATGCCATTTGCTGTCTATTTTCTGGTAAGTTATTAAATCATTATATCTAATAATATATCTGCATATTATATAGTATATATATACACTCTATATATATGTTTTATGGCCAAGAAAAAGTTGAGCCATGTTGAGTTCCAGGGTCGTGAGAGTGTCAAAATCAAACTGCTGGCCAAATGCAAAATTGCCAAGCATTTCCGTTTAATTTTATCAAGTGTTGGGTCATATAATAAATAAACACGCTCATAAATACCAATCAGGCTAGGGAGGGGCCAGGCTAGAAATGGGGTCAGGAGGCAGCAGTAAGGAGCCAGCAAGAGCCTGAATCCAGGACCCAAAATCCTGCATCCCAGAAGGGGCGTAGCTTTTAAGTAAATTGAGGCCATTCAAGCAATAACATTCAATTTTTGGCGATGCCGGCATATAAATCAATGTGTTTCCCATAAGCAACTGTTAAAAGGCGGAGAAAGTAAGAAAGCGAGAAAGGTTCGCAGGCAGTGGGTAGGGCAAGGGAAAGGGCAAGGCAAGGGAAATGAAAGTGCACTGGAAAAATGCTAGGAAAAAGTTAAATTTTCTGCAATTTAAAACTTAAACTGGACTTAAAGTAGGGGTTTATCAAGAGATTTTGTTAAGAAATCAACTAACTAACTTATAAGCTTAAGTTATTAAGGGCTAAATGAAGTAAAATTAGGTTTATCTTAAAAAAGATAAAGTATCTTAAAGATTTTTAAGCCCAATTCGAGAAGAGATTTGAAATTTGAAGAGGAAATTGCTTGGAATTACCAAAGAAAGTTTTTCACTAACAAAAATTAGCCACAAAATCAAACTAAAACAGACTTAAACTTCATATTCTAGTATTTTAAAGTTCTAAATTTTAATTTTAAATTCTTATAAATAATCTTAAATGAAAAGTTCTTTTAACTTTTCCAACTGTAACTTGAACATTGTCAGACAAATGCCCCGTCTTGGCCGTCTGACTGACTGCCTTTGACTTAAGCCGACGTAACTGTCATTCCATATGATTGATTGTTCGATTGACTGACTCACCGACTGACTGACAGACTGTCTAGCCAACTGCCCTCATCCAGCTGGGAGTTGACTTTCTCTACTAGCTTTCCCTACTAACTGACAGATTGATGGAAATCGCCTGCTTGGCGCGTTTCCGGCCATGTCCACTCTGGTGGCTCATCAGCTCGTTCGGATTGCGGGGTACCCGGATACTTGCTTTTTGGGGATTTCTTTCAGATAGAGAGAGAGCATATGGAAAGCAACTTTTAAAGGTTGGCATATACGTGTAGCAAGAACTCTCTGGCCTTCTTAATTGGTTGCAAGCCATGCCCTGTCATGGCTGCCACAATTAATTGCATGTTTATTTTATCGCTGGCAAATTATAGCAAAAATTTCCATTGTAATATTAAAAAGACCTCTCTCGGAAGTCAAATGAAATTAACAACAGTCATAGGCAGTGACAAAAAGGGTAGACGTGGTAGGGCAGGGGGCGTGGCTGTGTGTCGTGTGTTGGCGTTGCATAAAATAACAAATGTGAAAAGTTGTCACAGAATCTGAGAACAAGAAACTCGATGGCCAGCGTTTAATTGAATGTTTGTTTAAATATTTATGTCGCCCTTTTTGTTTTTTAAACAATAAATTATAGAAAAACATAAACATTAAATGCAAAAAGTTATAAAAAAATGTTAAAAAAAAGGATGTCAAACCTTGGGCTCGTCCGGGAGTTGAACCCGGGACCTCTCGCACCCGAAGCGAGAATCATACCCCTAGACCAACGAGCCGGTTGAAGGGCCGCCCGCCGAACTGACCCCAAAAAAGAGAGGGAAAGGGAGATGGGTATAGGCCTCGAAAGAGATAGCAGTAACTCACATAACTATGGGCAAGGTTCTAGCTCCTAGCCCTTAGTTAATAGCCTTTCTTTGGCTTAGGAAAATCAAAGTCGTTTTTGGTAATTAACAAAGCAAATTTGCCTCCCTTTTGTTGTTGACTTTCTAATGCCGCGCACGCCCACTGAAAATCACAGCAAATTAACTTGTCATTAAGTGCATCAGTCAGTAGGTTTACCTGTGCAAGTGTCGGGTTTTAATTACCCATTTAGACAGACGCCCAACCACCACCCATCCACACACACGCAACCACGCCTACTTGTCAAATGCAGACCAACGTGTTCCATTACAAACTTTCGTCAAGTTCAAAAGTGATTTGAAACTCTGGATTTTGCGCACTATTTTATGGTGTGCGCTCTCTCTTTCTTTCTGGCGAGATCTGTGCGTTAGTCTGTCTCTTTCTAATTCGCGATGGCCTTGGCTGTTTTTTTTTGCAAAGCAAAAGAAACTCAAATATTGGGAAAGTTTATGTTAAGGGCAATGTAAAAATGTTTTTGTTAATTTTAAAATATTTTTTTTTTAATTTTTTTTGGTCTTAAAAGCATTTTTTTTCATGTTTTTTTAAACATTTTTTTAATATTTTTGCAAGGTCTTGGCAAATATTTCCCTAACTAAATGATAGCATACTTTTCGGCAGTGCTGTATTTCTGCTGGACTGAGAGGGTGGCCATAGAACTAGCATAAAAGTTAACTTTTTAAGGCTACTGATAAAGATTTTAAAGTAAATTTACTAAAGAAAGATAAAGAAAGAAGTTACTTTTAGACTAAAAGATCATTAAATTTCCTTATTTCTATTAAATTATTGATAATTATTAAAGAAATTAAAGAAAAAGTGAAAAAACGGGTTAAGGTTTCGATGAAGGAATTCTAAAGCCTGAACATCTCTACGATCATGTCCCTGTAAATCATCTATGCCCATTGATACTATCAAACTTCTAAGTATTATTAAACTCAAGTCTTAAGGGGGAGGAGGGTTAGCATTTTCCAAGGGCCACACCCACCCACGCTCTCGAAGACAGTGATATACGCACACCCATATATATATATATATATATCCACACTCACATTCTCGCGCGGACACACATGAAAATTGATTTAGTTAAGAGGATTTGCGTCAACAACAGCACAATAAGTGGGCAGTAACACGGTCCAGTGCGATATGTTGTGGAGGAAATGGGAAATGCGAGTGGGTCAATGGAGGGTTAAGAGAAGGAGAGAGAGAGAGAGGGGGAGAGGCTGCCTCTAGCTGTGGGTGGTGATTGGGCAGCAGCTGAATGTGAAGAAGATTGGTAGCGCTCTCTCTTTCTCTCCACTCTGGCGTTCTTTGTGTGCGTTGGCATTTGTGCCGGATAGCACTTAACTCATAAAAATGTGCGCAACAAAGGTTGAGGTATCCACCGCTCACTGACCCCCTGCAACAACAACCAACCACCCATCCACCGCCCCACCAAAAAGAAGAAGAAGAACCAGAAGCAACAAGAGAACGAGCCGCCAGCCTGGGGCGTAACGAACGAGAGATGCCAACAATGGAGAATTATTGCTTATGACACAAGCCAGCGGACAAACAGGCAGTAGGATGCGGCGGATGAGGTGGGTCCCGTATAGTCCTGTCAGCGGTGGGCGTGCCAGGACATATACACACATACACACACGCCCATTTAGAAATGCTGCTCCCACGGATGCTGATGCTGATGCTGATGCTGATGGTGATGGTGATGTTGTTTGGGATGATGTTCTTTGGGCAGAGAGTACATGGCTCGTTTTAACTCGCGGCTTAAACAAATATACAAACATGTTTGCCCATCCCACGCCCGCCACGTGCATGTGTCTGTGGGCCAGTGCTTTTCTATTTTAAGTGGTTGTATATGTCAGTTGAAAGCTTTTGTTGACATTCAAGTGGTCATTGAAAGTGTAAAAGCGTGCACACTGGACCTGCGACTGAATGGGGGCGAATGTTGGCTCTAGCTGGGGGGGTTGGGTAGAGAATAGGGAAAGCTAACTGAAAGAAAAAATATCAACGGGAAATGATGATCAACTATGGAAGTTAGAAGTGACTTTGGCACTAATTTAGGAAGTTTTTTAGATCAAATTTTCAAGTTGATACCAGAAAACTAAGACTTTCTTCTTGGAAGAGTTAGAAAATCTTAAAGAAAACCCTCAAGACTTGGCTCTTTTTAGTTTCTAAGATCTTTTTCTTGATATCAGGATGTGTTGTTCCCCCAATCTCTGATCACTGTTACTTTTTCTCTATGTGCAGGATCCAAGCAAGTCAGAATAGCCCCTTGTCTGCGAGTCGAGCTGGCTCCATGTTTGGGGGCACTAATCTTATCAGAGCTGTGTTTGCTTTTTGTCTGGGAAAGGGAAAGGGAATGGGAAAGGGGAATGAGAATAGGCTTGGGAGGATTTCAACGTTTCCTTCTCTAATGTGTTCTTTTTTCCTATTCTCTGACCGTCGTCCTTGCTCCTTTAGGATGTTTTTCAGCCGTTGTTAATTGGTTTTGTATGCAGCTTGGTTAATGCTTTCGGGGCAGGGGCTGACTTTTGCAGAAATGGGAAAGGATGTGCGGGATTAGGGGCAGATCGGTGTAGGGCATACCGAATGCAATGCTCTAAGGTAATGCCCTCCTAATCGGGTTTTATCATATTTCTAGGCAAGATTACCATCTATGCAGCTGTGATTAACTTGCAAAACAAAGACTAACCCTAAGGCGGTAAGAAATTAAGTTAAAAGAGCCCCAGAAAGATGAGATAATCTCGGGAAATGTTCATTTTTATAAAGCAATTTGCACTTTCTTTTTGGTTTTTGAGTATTTATAGAGCCCTGTAAAGAACGGGTTGCCTCGCATGCAGCTGCACTAACTTGGCAAAAGTATTATCCCAGCCAACGTTGCGTATGAGCGACATCAAGTGCTCTGAAAACAGGCCTTAATGGCAATTGTCAAACGTTCAGGTCTGCATTCGGTCCTTCCTTTGGCCCTTCGTCCTTGGGTCCATACGCAGTCACTTGAGAGGTCCGTAAAGAGCCAACAGAAATTGCCATAAGTTCATGGCAAAAATAAATAATCTGATTAATGTACACTCACAATCACAGACTTACGCACACACACACGCGAACACACAAGCGCACACACT